GCAGTGGGGATGACACTGCAGTTAGGGAGTGGCGTGTGACCTGCACATGTGGAGAGGGGCCCCGGCAGGGGTGCTTCCCCGTATCCTTCACACCTGTCACCTGTCTGTCCTGCTGCACAAAGGTGCCAAGTGCATGCTGCTGACCAGATGACATGCAGGCTGACAAGTCCACAACCGTACAGAAGACACACATGTGTCTCAGCCAGGCAAGACTCAGTCCCAAACTCCATTTCCTGCCAAGACCTGGTGGCTCAGTGCAGTACAGTGACTGACCGGGGTCACTGAGCTGCTACGTGGAAAGGTCCAGCTCAAGGCCCAGGCTGGCCGGACACAAGCTCAGCCTCACTAAGGTCCTACCGATTACACACCCACCCTCAAGGACTAGAAGGCATCCTGACCAGGCCTGCCCACAGCTCCTTACCCCCTGACTGACCCACCTTCCCATCGGGCACACTTGTATAGCCGCTGAAGTGCAGTGGCCCTGGCACGGTGGGCCTGGAGTGGGCAGGCAGGTGACGGTCCAGGCAGGTGGCCAGGCAGAGGGGCAGGCAGGCCCAGCAGCACAGGAGGATGTAGAGCACGGAGAGGACCAAGAAACAGGCGAGCAGGAGCAGGAGGCGGCCCTGGGGGAGAGAGCAGCAATGGGCAGGGGCGGCTGAGCTGGAGAGAAGGCTCCCAGGAGCTTAGGTCAGCAGCTGTAGCAGCTGCAGGTGTAGCGCCCACGGCCCCCAGCCACCGACCTTGCCCAGGGCCGCAGGGCTCAGGGACACACAGAGCCCCGAGACAATTCTCCTCTTCTGTCTAGACAGGGTAAGCTGCAGGTCAAGGCATAGGGCAAGGATGCTGCAGAAAGGGGCCTTAACTGTAGGTTTCCCAGCTCAGCTCCTTGCCCAGAAGCCTGGGGCAGGGGGCCTGTGCCACTCTCGGGTATGACCCAGGTCTCTGTGCCACCAGCCCCGCCTCCAGCCCCACCCCCACCCGGCTCAGTGGAGCCTGGTCACCTGCCAGAGAAGTGGTATTACAGAAATGCCTTCAAGGGCGACAGAAGCTGCACCCAGAGGTCCTGCCAGGGGCACTGAACCAGCAAGCCCTTCTCACTCCACTGCCCACTGCCCCGCCTGCCTGCAGGGGCCTAGCGTAGGCTGCTGGGGCTGGCAAACTCTGGGAAAATCCCTCCCCAAGAAAGACTACCTGGTGGGGGCAGGATCCTGGGTATGTCACTGTGTGCTGGGCCTCTCTCGGTTTCCACAGACACAAGTGCCCACAAGAGCCCCACAGACACCACCTGGAGGCCACTGGAGCTCCAAACATTCCAAGGGGAGGGGGGAAGGCTCCCCTGCCCCCCCCCCCGCACATCCTGTTAGAGACCCACCCTCTTCTGCCCACAAAGCCACATCAGCATCTAAAAATAGGACTATTCTGTGTGGCCAGCTGTGGGGGAGGGTGCACAGCCCCTGAGGCCTCAGACTGGGCCTGGCACCTGGTTCCGTGCCCACAAGTTCTCAGGAGGGCGGATGACGGCCCCACTCATTGGTCTGTGTCCCATCACCCTCCCCCCACCCCCTGGGTCCTAAATAAACACAAAATAGCAGGTGAGCTGAGATACCCCCTCACCTGCCACCTGCAGGTGGGCCTCACCCACGTGACCTTGTAGGACAGGGGGTAAAGGCAGAAGGTCCTGAAACCAGAGGAGGGATGAAACTTGCTAGGGGGTGTGTTGCACAGCACATAAGGGGGCCAGTGGGATCCACAGGGACGGTCTGTCTTGAGGTACCGAGGCTACTCCAGGCACCCCCAGGGGAGCGAGGCAGCTCCCCCGACTTACCTGAGCCTTCATGGTTTCGCTACCGCCTCAGCAGTCAGGAGGATGCTGTCTCCAGGGCTGCGGCTGGGAAGAGGTGGAAGCTGGGCACCTGCCAAGACCCAGGAATTCAGAGCCTCAAGGGGGATGAGGCAGATGGGGAAACTGAGGCAGGGGAGGCTACAGGCTCGGCTTAGGAAGAAGGCACCCAGGGGAGCAAACACCTGCAAGATGCCCAACCCTGAACAGCAACGTTGCCCCTTAAAGGAGCCCTCCCGGAACCCAATCCCCATTGCCCAGATGAGGAAGGAGAGACGGCACCCCTAACGCCCAAGGTCACGCGTCTCAGTCCGAGGCAGTTAAAGCCACAAGCGCAGAGCCCACAGCCCACAGCCCACATGGCCACTCCATCCATCCTACCTCCCTGCCCCGAGGGACGCGCGGTGGAGGCCTGGGGACAGAGACAGGATGTGCGGTTTTCTTTTGTAACCCCTGTTCCTGGTCCCACCGCCCCCTCCCCCCGGCCTGGCGCTAACCGGGCGGGCTGGTTGAGGCGCGCCGGAGGCTCACGATCCGCTGCTCGCAGCTCCATGACCTGCCCGGCCAGGCGCGCCAGGCTGGACGCCGGTGCCCCGGGGCGGAGGCGGCGCTGCGGCCGCGCGGAGGATGGAAGCCGCGGGCCCCGGGCGGCCGAGGGGCGGGGCGGAGCCTGCGGGGCGGGGCGGAGGGGCGGAGCCTGCGGGGCAGCAGGGAGGGCGGAGACTGCGGGGAGGGGCGGAGCCTGCGGCGGGGACAGCCGGGGAGAGCGGAGCCTGCGGGGCGGGGCGGCAGGGAGGGCGGAGCCTGCGGGGAGGGGAGAGGAGGAGCCTGCGGGGGACAAGGCAGAGTCTGCGGAGACTGGGCGGAGCCTGCAGGGGGTGGGAACTGCCGGGCATGGGGCGGAGCTTTGTGCAGCCTGGGGCGGGATCAGCGCGGCCGGGGCGGGCCGTGGGGGCGTGGCTGGCAGCGAGGCCTGGAGGCTGGGGGCGGAGTCGGCGCGCCAGCATGCCCCTCCTCCCTCACTCCCCTCCAAGAGGTCCCAGCTTCCCGCGTTTCCGCACCGGTGGCGGTGGCGTGGGCTGCTGGCCGAGAATGCTGGGCTCGCCGGATTCCGGCTTCCCCGTTTCTAAAATTGAAGGGTGGGTAAAGAAATTAGGCAAGGCCTGGAGTCACGCAGCCCCGGCTTCAGGCTGACAGGGCTGCCAAATTTTGCAAGTACGACACGGGAGTCTCAGGTAGCTTGAAATATCAAGGAAGAAAGCAGCTTGCTCTTCTGATGATTGCGTATTACAGGAGGGGAGCGCCCTCTGTTCCATCACTCCCCACATGCCTGCCACCAGTGGGGCCGGATGCCGCCCAAGGAGAGGACGCCCTCCAGGTCTCCCAGGCGGGTAATAGGAACCCACTACCCTCAGGGTCTGCGTTAGTAAGGAGCTGAGCTGGTGTCTAGGGTGTGACCCCAGTATCGACCACAGCACCCCAATACAGGACAGTTGGGGTATTAACTACCATCAGGGCCTCCCACGTGGGTGCAGGGGCCCAGGCATTTGAACTGCCTTCTGTTGTTTTTCCAGGAGCTTCAGCAGGGAGCTGGATTGGCAATGGAGCATCTAAGCTTGAACCAGGGCTCCCATAGGGGGTGGCGGTGGTGTGATCAGCATCTTAGCCCCCATGCCACAACACAGGCCTCCTTGTAGCTGTTTGTAACCTTCATCTTGGGGATGAAGGCAGTACCCACATCCTCATGGCAGAGCCAGCATGGAGTCCAAGGGGTTTCCGATGCAGAGCTGGAGGCAAAGGGGCGTTCTGGCCCCTGTTTATGCCTTCCAACGCTCCCCTCCCTGAGCGTTCTCAAAACCCATAAGGCAGTTCAGTTGGGGCTCTTGTGGTTTCCACACAGGGGCCAAGCTGGTAGCAGCAGGGACAGGTGTGAGGCATCAGGAAGTGGTGTGGCAGAAAGCAGGCTCCAAAGATCCCCTGGCTATGTCCTGCAGAACCAGAAAGCCCACCCAAACATCCACGTACCTCCCTTGGCAGGAAGCCGACCTGGGAACCAGCTGGGCTCCTGCCCTGGCCCCCCACTCCAAACTCTATCTTCCTTCTTGACAGAGGTGCAGGCAAGGGCAGGCCACCAGGGTGCCTGCTCCCTGCTCAGCAGCTCGCCAAGCATGCTCCGTGTCCTGTTCAGGGGGTGTCCCTGGTACCTGTGCCCTTCTGCCCTGCCTGTTGGGGAGCAGCAGTCTGGGCTCAGCCTCTCCCTAGCCCCTGAGTCACACAGGTGCACAAAAGTCCCCACAGTCAGAGCCCTTCTAATCTCCCTTCAAGGCCTCCTTTATTTTCTATTTCAAGATTTTATTTTTACTTGAAAGGCAGGCTGAGAGAGACAGGAAGGAAGACTTCTACTCCATCCACGTTTCCCACATGGCTGCAGGGGCCCAAGTACATGGGCCATCCTCTGCTGCTCTCCCAGGTGCATTGGCTGGGAGCTGCATCAGAAGTGGAGTAGCTGGGGCTTGAACCAGGGATCTGCTATGGGATGCTGGTGCCACAGATGGTGACTTAACCCACAGTGCCACAATGCTGTCTGTCCAAGTCTTCCTTCAAGTTCCTCTGTTGGATCCAGCCCCAAGGCGAGATGAGCCCTGTGTGTTCATTTATGACCCACAGTGGCTGGTCAGTGACCCCTCACGTCCTTCCTAGGGCTGCACAGGGATGGGACGGTGGAAATCCACAGTGGAATTAAGACCTGAAGTCCTGCAGCTCCAACGAGGGTGCTGCATTCTCCCACTTGGTGTTGGGAACAACAACAACAACAACTTGTTCCTACTGCAGCCCAAAAGAACATGCCCAGTGTGGACTCCTGCCCTACCCCTGGCTGTCCCCCCACCACCCCTACCGCACGCACACCAAGCTCATTCCAGCCTCAGGACACGACGTGCCAATGCCCGTGCAATGAATGGATGAGGAAGCCAGGTCCCAGACAGGTCTCTTCCTGCCGACAGCCAGCACCCAGGGGCGCACAGGCTTCTGGGTGCTGACGTGGTCTCCTGAGGGAATCCTACCCCCAAAGCTGCCAGGAGGCACAGTGCCCGCCCTCACCCCCTTGCAGTCCCCCCGCACTCCAAGTCTTAGCCACTGCTCCTGTCAGCTTCCTGCTGGGGCTGACGTCAGGATGGATGGATTGAGTAATCACCCAAAGCCACCTGGCTAGCAGTGATGCCAATGTGGGAAAAAAAAAATTTTTTTCCAGGAATCCAAGTTCACTCTTCCCGTTAGCTGTGTCATCTGACAGGTGGTGGGAGGCCCCAAGCTCACAAGTCAAGTGCTCTAGGAATGTTTAATGAGGTTCCATTTCACAGAGCAAAGCACAGGGGAGGGGCTCCCACAACAGCCCCCAGGGCTTGAGGCTGGGTTCTCCTGTAGGGAAACAAGAGTGGCTGAGCAGGCGCTGATGGCCCCATTTCACGGCTGGAGAAAGGGAGGCGTTCAATGGAAGCCCCCTCCGCCTCCTCCCACCTGCAGCTCCGTAGGGACAGGAAGTTGGCAGGAGCCAGGACGAGCTCGCCACTTACCCGTGTGTGATCCTCTGGGAGTCTCTGGGCCTCAGCTTCCTCATCTGGGCCACACGGGAGAAGTGGGAGCTCTGGCCATCAGCCCGCGGGGTCCCCCTGCCCGGGAGCCAGATGGGGTGGTGGGAGCCCGCGGTTAAGACCACCGTAGGCTCGACAGTTTTAGTGCTGAGTGGTCCTGCTCGGTCCCAGAGCCTCCATCTCCTAGTCTCTAAGAAGAGAATGTAACAGCCTTGCTTGAGGAATTGAGGAAAAACGCACATAGAGGGAGACCCTGGTGGGGGGTGGCTGCACCCTGCTGGCGCGGAGAGGCCCCAGGCTCCCCCGTCGGTGCCCGTCACTCCTCCGTATGCTCTTCCACCCACTGGCAGAGGCGCCGGGCGTAGCGCGCAGGGCTGACGGTGGAGAAGGTCCGGCCTGGGTAGCGCAATGTCTTCCACAGGTGCTCCAGCCGCTTGCGGAGCCCGTAGACCGTGGCGAGGTCGACAAGGCCCAGGAAATAGCGCTGCTCCGGCCCGTCAAGCACGTGCAGGGCGTTGGGGCTGTCGGGAAGAAGCCTGCGGTTCTGCGCTTCGGTCTCTTCCGGGCTCCCGGCCCCTTGCACGGACCTAGGGGCCGACAGAGCAGGAAGAGGCTGATTGGGGTCCAGGGGACACTGGGGTTGGTCCAGAGTGCATGGAGCACAGACACTCGGTTTTGCCTTATATGGCCTGAGTTTAAGTTTCTTATTAGGAGGTTTTGTTTGCTTGTTTGTTTGTTGTGTGTGTGTGTGTGTTTTTTTTTTTTTTTTTTTTTTTCTCCAAGGTGCTTACTGCTGGAGCTGAGCCGATCCAAAACCAGGAGGTTCCTCTGCATCTCCCTCATGGGTTCAGGGTCCGAAGACTTGAGCTATCCTCCACTGCTTTCCCAGGCTATAAGCAGGGAGCTGGATCAGATGTGAAACAGCTGGGACTCGAACCCATGTCCCTTTGGGATGCCGGTGCTGCAAGCTTAGCTTGCTATGCCAACATGTCAGCCCCAGGTCTCCTGACTGACCTGTATGAGTTACCCAGAGGTTTTATTCCAGCCCTTTTCTGCCTTGGGGAAAAAAATCAGCCAATGAGCAGGCCTCGCCCAGGTGGCGACCAATCAGAGACCAGAAGGCGCCGGGATGCAAAGGGCTGGCTTGGGTGATGAATGCTGGGCTGGGACAAGCCATTATGAAATAATTTCAATACAACAACTCCGTGTAAACATGAGCCAGGGTGGCCGCAGTGGCTAGCTAGGGGAAGGAACCATTGCCCTGCACCCCAACAGGTTCTCTGCTGGCCACAAGCTGCCTGAGGAAGGGTTGTGACCCTGGCTCTGTCCAAACCTCGGCTATTCCAGGTCTCCCTCCTTGGGGCAGGTGGCTGGGCCTCCTCCTTCACGTCTGCCTGCTCCCAGGTTTCCTGTGCCTGTGTGCACGGACCTAGGACCTGTGTCCTGGCAATTCTCTTTCAGCCCCACTGAGAGACTGGCTCTGGAGACCAGGAGCTGCTACGGAGGCCTCAAGGTCATCCTGCCACTGTGCTCGCCTGCTGAGCCTCTACAAATGAGAATGAACTTCCAGATCCCCAACCCTCCACCCTGGCCTAGTGAGGCTCATGGTCAGCCTGCAAAGGGCGTGGGGCAAGGTGAGTGCCAAGCTGGGAGCACGTGGCAATCACCGCGGGGCTTAGGCCATGCGGGGACTGGGTAAGAGTGAAGACTCCTTCAAAGGCAAACACTACATTCCCTACTGGGAAATGGATGAGCATTCCCAGCAGCCCTGCGGCCCTTGTCCAAGACGACCTCATCAGCTCCATCCCCTGCCGTGGCTCACCTGTGCCTTCTGCCTCTGCCTTGGCCAGCCAGGCTTCCCGGCCCCTTCATACACATATGTGCACATGTGAGCATGCATACACATGTATAATGTGCTCACATCTACACACACGTGTGCGGTATTACATTGCTCTTTCCAGTTTTCCAGGCTCTTTCCTTGCTGTTCTCCACCCAGGGAAGGCATCACCCCACCCCGTCTCTTCCCCACACGCTGTCTTTGCCTGGCCAGGCGTCTCCAGGGTGCTCACCTGACTGTGCGGAAGACGAGGCTGCCTCCCTGGCCCCGCTCGTCCTCCTGGAGGCGCTGCAGGGCCATCAGCAGGCTGTAGTCCAGCACGTTGAGCTCACGGAGGAAGGCCGTGTCCAGCTCCATCTGGCGGAGGAGCCAGCTCCGCTGAGGGCCTGGTGAGCACCAGGGTGGGCCCTGAGCACGGTGGGAGGCCCAGTCATGTGCCCACTTCTGCCCAAACACGTGCTGTCCTTCCTAACCCCATGTTCCCACAGGAGCCAGGATTTCAAAGACGCCTCAGTCACTTAGCTGGTGAGCCAGGGAGCTGGGAACAGACCCCACCCTGCCTGATTGGACAGTCGGAGCGCTCTGGGGCTTGGGCAGAGGACAGGTCCCAAGGCGTCCTCTGCACCCCTCATCCCCAGACGTGGCTCACCCAGCTGGATGGTCTTGCCCTGAAAGTTGAGGTCCTTCAGCACCAGAATGATGGGGCTGTCCTCGGGGCCTGGCTCCACCCAGCGGCTCACCTGGCAGCCTTTGACGTCATACCTGGGAGGCAGAGAACACATCGCGGCTTTACACCGACCTTGGCACACAGACAACCAGGACAGACGAGGGGTCCCTCCCCCACCAGTCCTGATGGTACCTAACCTGATCTCACCTTAGGGACCAGGAGGCTGAGGCTCATGCAGTAGGGAAAGGCTCCTGGTCAGACCTGGGTCAGCCTGCCCCTGGGCACCTTGTCCCCAGGGACCCCAAGGGTGTCACTGATACCCTGCTGTGTGTGGTGGGTGAGGCTGGAACTGTGCCCGCCTTCATCTCTCCCTTCCTCAGCCTCTCACCCCTGCACCTCTCACCTCTGCAGCCTGTATAACCTGCCCCTATAACACAAGGGGGGCGTCAAGATTGGAGGCGTGGTTGTGCTCTTTCTGGAACCTCAGAGCCGAGACTGCTCACCTCTCAGCGATGCGGCCGGCGGGGAAGAAGACGTTTTGCATGATGATGAAGTATTTCTGGGGATGAGCGTGGGGGTGCGGGTGAGGGGAACCCGGAGTGGCCCCCCCGCAGCCGTCTCTCGGCCCCCGGCCCCTTCGCCTCCCTCGGCCTCACCCACCTTTTTGCCCTGAGCCACCCGCAGGCTGTGCACTCCTGGGAGAGAGGGTCGTCTGGTGAGGGACGCAAAATGCACATCCCGGGGTTCCCCCGCCCCTCGTGTCCGCTCCAGGCCTTGCCTCCTTGTCCAGATGTTCGGGATTCTAAGCCCGACCCGGGCCCCCCAACCGCAGTCCACGCGCGCGGCTGGATGCGCACCCCTTCGCCCCGCCCCCAGGCCAGATCAGCCAATCGCACTCCTGTCCCTCCAGGCCCCGCCCCAGAGGCGGGGCCCACGGTACCCAGCAAGCGGGCCAGCAACGAGTGCGGATGGCGCTGCAGATGCTGCACGTAGCGGGGCAGGTGGGCAAGCAGCACGCGCACCTCCCGGCGCCGTTGGGTCTTCAGGAAGAAGCGCTGATCGTGGCTGAGGGTGGAAGGGAGAGGTCAGTCCCTCCCGCCCCGCGGCCTGTGCATGTAGCTCTGTCGCTCCTGGGGCTGGCCTCCAGCCCGCTCCTCCTCCCCTGGCCCCACCCCTGCTTCTCCTCCATCCCTATCCCCGCCCCACCCCTGCCTCTAGCTCACGACAGGAAGAAGGTGGCCTTGCTCTTGGAGGTGCTGAGGAACTGCAGGTAGGGCCCCCCGGGGCCCAACGCCGCCTGATAGTCCTCCTCCACCAGGCCCAGCGAGCGGCGCAGGCGGGCAAAGGCTGGGCCAGCCAGGGTGCCCAGCTCGAAGCCCTGTGGGGAAAGAAGAGGGCCCCCAAGGCCCTGGGTGAGGACAGAAGGTCAGAGTGACCACAGGAGTCCCCGGCGCCTTGGGGTTGGGGTGGCAGAGAACCCAGGCTCCTGCCCATAGGGGACTCCAGGGCTGCCTACCTCATGAACTTGGGTCAGCACCTCAGAAAAGTCCTCTTGAGTGAGCAGCCCCTGCAGGGAAGGGGGAGTTCAGGGTTTCTCCAAGTTCACAGCCCACCCCTCCAGGGTTTCACCGGGCCTTGCCCCTGCCTTCCACCCTATATAGTTCCCTCAGCAAACAGGGACCTGAGCTGGCCCTGGGTGTGCCTGAACTGGGGACACAGTCTGTGTGGCCTCAGCCACAGGGCAGGAGGGAGGACCTGTGGGATCAGCAGTAGGTCTGAGTGTGTCTGATGCACCACACCAGGTCTGTGCTCAAGACTGGCCCGTGTCCCCAGGCTGCCCCATACACATGCGGGTGGAGGGAAGCCAGATTGCAGCCTAGTACCAAGGGAGGAGTCTAGAGTCAGGGGTATGTCTGATGCAGCCTGGAGACATCTGGGAAGGCTTCCTGAAGGAGGTGACCTTAGGCAGAAATCTTATGGGGGAGTAGAAAGGGGGAGCCAGGTCAGTGCAGTGGGGCCAGCACTAACAGCCACCAGCAAAGGAGGGAGGCAGAGAGGGCCTGAGAGGCTGCAACCACTAATGGGAAGGGATCCTAACCCTCACACGCTGGTCGCCCAGCCAGTATGCGCACACGCACACACACACGCTCACCCCTTCTTGAATGCAGACATGGTACACAAATAGAACACACATGCTCATCCACCCTGTACACACATGTGCCCCCAGACAGGACTCACGTGTCCACCCAACCCTGTCCACAATAGGACACACGTGCCCATCCAGTCCTGCTCAGCTGCTGAGCTTGCAGTTGGATGAACCTTTCTGCTGAGCCAGGCGGGCCGCAGCTTGGCTCAGGGGAAAATGGGCAGAGCGGATAGGGTGGGAGTGGAGTGGAGCCCCTTCTCAACCATCAACCCTGGCAGGGCTGGGGAGTGGGGGGACTCAAACCTGGGAGCACCATCCCCTCCACCCATTGCACAGATGGGGGCAATGAGGCTGAGTCAGGGGCAGGGCGCCTGCAGCCACATAGCGAGCACCTGCCAGGTGGCTCTTGACCCCTCAACACTGAGGGCCTTGTCCCAGGATCACCCTCCGTCCCCTCCCCCTTCTGACAACCTTCTCTGAGCCCCAGGATTAGCTGGACAGGGCATTTGTTGTGGGGATGCAGGAGGCAGGCTGGCCACTCACCGTGGGCGGGTGGTCCATGGAGGCCTGGGTGGCTGCCCATAGCCCTGCCTGCATCATACATGCCAAGCCATGCAGCTCGTGGCCCGGGCCGATCTCAAACAGGCCCAGGCGAGACTGCTTGTCCCGCAGGCGCCAGAAGAGTCCACGACGGCTGGAGCGTGAGGCGGCTACTCTGTGTCCAGCCTCTGGGGAGGGGGCCAGCGCCTGGGGAGTGGGGGGAAGGCACAGGATGCCAAGGGCAGGTGGCAGCATCTCCAAGGGGAAGAGACCCAGGTGCAAGTCCCATGTGCCACCTGTGAGTCTGTCCCTGCCTCAGTTTCCTCTGCTGTCGATGATTAGTGCTGGGAGCCAGCTCACCAGGTGTGTGTGGGGAGAATGGGGGTGGCACAGTACCTGGCAGGTGACCAGCACCCCGACAGCACAGTACACTGCGGTCCAGCCAGATGTGAGCATGGCTGTGTGACCACAACTAAGACCTCTAACCGCCCCAGAGCCTGGCTGTTTCACCTGTGCCAGGAGATCTGACACAACTCCTTCCTGGCAGGTACTACCGCCCATCACAGTAATGGGCTCCAAATCTATCCTTGTCCTCTGCACGGAGTGCCTCCAGCCGGCACCTGCTGACCATGTGCCCAGCACCCAGTACCTGGCATGCCTGGGAAGGAGCGTCCATCCTCATCTCGGAAGGCCTGGATGGGGTGGGGGGCTACCCGCCAGATCACCCCCATTCATACTGGTGATCCGGAAAGGGCAGAGGCAGCTGCTGGTTCTCACCCAGCCCAGGGCTCCTCCTTAAGTGGGGCGGGTCCACACCATTCACCGACCCGGGCCCCGGCACCTGCCCTCTCCTGTTCTCTCCCGGATCCGCACCTACCTCGCGGGGCCCCGGGCTCGGCACGGCCATCGCCCCGCAGCAGCTTCCCGGGCTTTGGCGGTGTCCCCGCGCCGCCCGGGCTGCGGGAGTCAGACCACGCCCCTGCCTCCCCACAGGCCAATCGTTCGGTCCGATAACGGCTGCATCCAATTCGGGTGTGGGGGGATGCTGGCGATCGCCTGCAGGTCCCGCCCCCGCGGCTGCAGCATCCTTCAGACCGCGGTCCAGGCGGGGCACTGGCTCGGGGTTTCTGGAAGGAACCCCCATTTTCCTCTTGCCTTTTCCCCAGCGCAGAGAGAGGCACTCAGGTCTCTGGGCTCGTCTGGGGGAGGTGGTCCACCCATTTATCCACTAAATGCTTTCAGTTGGGCAAGGTAAGACCTAGCTCCGGAGGTGACACCCTCCAAGTCACAAGGAGGCCAGGGCGCCCATTCATTCCACATCCGTGTCTTGGATGTTTTGGACGCCCGCTTTGGGCCAGGATCGGTGCTGGTGGTTCAGTGAGGACCTCACCACTGCCGGCACACAAGGCTGATGTCACCACAGGGAACAAAGGGCAGTACAGAGGCAGGGACCAACACGGTCTCACTGCCCAGCGTGGCCTGGAGCATCCAAGGTAGGGTATGCAGAGGGCTTTGCTCCAAGGTCAGAGTGACTGGACCCAGGAAAGGAGCAAATGGGCACGTGGATTCTTGAAGGGACAGGGCAGATGGGCAGTGGGGTAAGTGGTCTGGAGCAACCCATCTTGTGTGCACCTGGCTGCTTCATTTCCAATGCTGCTCCCTACTGATGGGCCAGGGCAAAGCAGCTGCAGACGGCTTGGATGGAGCTGCTGGCTGTTGTGGCCACTTGGGGAGTGAGCCCCAGCGCACAGAAGACTCCTTCCTTCCTCTCTCTGCCATTTCACTCCCCTAGCCTCAGTGGGTATAGCTTCCTACAGGGAAGCATGGCTGGGCGAATGGGGTCCCCTCCATGGGCTCCTAGAGCGGGTTGGGGAAGCCTTGAGAGGACAGTGCTGGAGGCAGAGGCAGCTTCCCCTGGGCAGGGAACTTGAGCGAGAGGAGGTTGCTGCTACCACAGCTGTGTGGAGAGGAGCAGAGCAGACCCAAGCCCGGGGAATCAGCTCCACTTGGAATGGAGGGCAGGTGTGCACGGACAGCCCTCCCCTGGGACGGGGAGACATGCTGGCCTCTACGAGAATCACCTGCAGGGACAGTACAGATGCCAGGGCTGCCACACCGGGATGATGGGTGACAGGCTTGGGTTTTGAAGGGTGCCTACAGTTCTGGTCCCCCTGGGCCAAGCTGAGCTGGGGAGACAAGCTGGGTCCTCTGTTTGACTCCAGCTGTGAGCACCTCTGGGCCAAACTTCATTGGCTCGAGGTAACACCCTGCACAGGCACAGTGCCAAGGCAGCACCCAGACACCCTATAGCCCAACCAAGCTCTCCTGACCAGAGACCAAGTCGGAGTCAAAGTCAAGCCCTCCCAGACCAGGTCCCCTTGCCAAGGACAGCACAGACACAAGTGTGTGGTCAGGGTTTATTGTTGAGGTCTCCGCAGCCTGGTGTGAGTACCCTAATGCCCCTGGAAGCCTGCTGGTGGTCCCGGGATCTATCCATCCTGCCCCAGGACTTTCCAAGTCAGGAAGTCCATGTGGGCTCTGAGCTGTGTCGCCTTCAGGAAAGCTGCCTTTGTGGAAGGGCGGGGCCGCTTGTCCTAGAACCTGCGAAGTCCATCAGTGTGACCTGAGGGATGCTGAGCCTATGGACAGAACCCAGGGAGGAAGAGCCAGGGACGCTGGAAGCAGACTGAGGAGAAGCAGCGCTGTCCAGGCCCTGACACAGCGGGAAGAGAGGGAGGTCTCCAGGCACCCAGCCCTCTGGCTTCCAGAGGGCGACTGAGTGTGTGTGTGTGGTGGGGTGTAGGGGGATCTGTCAGAGGAAGAGTCCTGATCGGCTTCATCCCACAGGGAGGCCTGTGGCGCCACAGGGCCTGGATCAGTCCTGCAAGCTCCCTCCGTGGTGCCTGCCTGGGAGGAGCTGCAGCGTGGGAATGGCAGCGTCAGCCCTGCACGCTGGGTCTTCACTGAGCCTTCTTGGCTGGCCTCTGGTTCTTCATCATCACGTAGCTGATGAACAGACCTGGATCACGTAGGGAGGGCACATGTGGGCAAGATGCCGCGTGGCCTGCTTCTGCTCCCACTGGGAACAAGAGCCCACCCTACCACACAGTCACCACACTACAGGCTCACCCCAACCGCCCTATGGGGCTTTCCATTCATGCCACAGCCTGTGCTGGGAGCTGAGGACATGGGGCCATCCCTCAGGCAGTGGAGTCGGGGGGCTGAGGGGTGAGGACTCGTGCCACCACAGTGCCCAGGGCCCAGGGCACACAAAGGAGAAGGCAGTGGAGAGCTGGGAGCAGGGAGCCCCGAGCAGACAGACATATAGCCACTGCCCACATGCCACCACAGGTGCGTAAGGTGCTGGCAGGACTCACCCACGAACAGCAGCAGCAGCAGTCCCGCAACCAGCGGGATGGTGATGGCGTAGGCTCGGGGCAGGAAGTACTTGTGGATGACATGCTGGCTGTCGATGAAAGGCTGGCCCCAAGGGCAGAGTTCCAGTGAGCGCCATTTGCTAGCCCCATCCTCAAACTGCCCCTCATCCACTGAAACGGCTGACACCCGCCCTGTGCCCGGGCCGCCAGCTCTCAGCTTGGTGATAGTGGCATTCCGGGTACCCAGGCCTTCTTCCCTGAGAACTGCCTGACCAAGTCCATGCATGGTGCCCGCAGCCCTGAGACACCCAGAGCCCAGCACAGGGCACACGAGGGAATGAGTGCCACTCCCCAAGGTTTCTCTCTACCGGAAATGTGACACTCCGAAGACCCCCTCCCAAAACCCACCAGTGCTTCCCAAGCCCGGGTGTCAGAAGGCCATGCCAACAGGCCACAGGGCTTGCCAGGGTAGTAGAGACAGGAGCAGTCCTGGGCCGGGTGTGTTGGTCATGTGGCCCTGCCAACACCCACCCTCTCCCAGGCTCATGGCTTTGATGGAACTCGGCCTTGGCTGTTGAGGGCATTTAGACACTGAGCCAGTGGATGGGACGGCAATCCCACTCCCTGCCTTTTAAATATATTTTTTTAGAGATTTATTTTTATTGGAAAGTCAGATATACCAAGAGGAGAGACAGACAGGAAGATAACTCCCTAAGTGGCTGCAACGGCTGGAACTAAGTCAAACCTAAGCAAGGAGCCCGGATCCTCTTCTGGGTCTCCCACACGGGTGCAGGATCCCAAAGCTTTGGGTAATCCTCAACTGCTTTCCCAGGCCACAAGCTGGATGGGAAGCAGGGCCATGGGGACCAGAACTGGCGCTCATATGGGATCCCGGTGCGTCCAAGGCGAGGATGTGAGCCACTAGGCTACCATGTCAGGCTCTCAAATAAATCTTTAAGAAAGAAAAGAGGGAGCCCAGCACAGCCTAGTGGCTAAAGTCCTTGCCTTGCACACAACGGGATTTCATATAGGCACTGGTTCTAATCCCGACTGCTCCACTTCCCATCCAGTTTCCTGCTTGTGGCCTGGGAAAGTAGTCGAGGACGGCCCAAAGCCTTGGGACCCTGCACCTGTATGGGAAACCTAGAAGTTCCTGGCTTTGGACCGGCTCAGCTCTGGCTGTAGCGAATGGATCTTCCTCTCTGTCTCTCCTCTCTGTATATCTGACCTTTCCAATTAAAATAAATCTTAAGAAGAAGAAGCAGGACAAGTAGTTCGCTGCTGAGGTGAAGATGGCACCACGGCTGGTCCCCGGTATCCCACCCAGGGCTGGCTGCTTTCCACCCAGCCTTCCTGCCAGCAGCAGGGGATGGCCCCAAGCCCGGGACAGAGCTCGGCTCCTGGCTTCAGCCTGGCCCCGTCCCAGCTGTTGCAGCCATTTGGGGAAGTGAATCACACGGTCCTTCGGTCTCTGATGTTCCCATAAGTAAAAGTTTAAATATAAAAAAGCGCACCCTGCGACAGTCCCAGCTTTCTCGGCTGGACAGCGCCTGGCTCCCCCTGAGCTCTCCGGACCTGGCCGAGGGCAGGGGAGGCCGACCTACCAGGAGAACCACCCAGACGCTGTAGTAGGCGAAGACGATCAGGCTCAGGGCGACGAGGCCGAGTCCCACCACCTGGTCTGTCCCCGTGGCCTGGAGGAGAAGGGGCGCAGCTGACGAAGGAACAGGGTAGCACAGCCCAGCCCTAACCCCACGCAGCACGCAGCCAGGGCTCGGCCTTTCCTTCGTGCGTGTGCCGTCTGCAGTGCAATTCGGGGTCTGTTTCCGAAAGCCCGAGCCCCAGCTCCCCAGCCGACGCTGTACCCCAGCCACTCCCGGCAACCCGCCCCTGCCTCACCATGTCCCCGGCACTCTGCCACCGGAGCACTAAGCTACATCCGGTTCCCGATCCGGGCACCACCGGCGTGTGGTCGCGAGGCATGCTGGGAGTCGTAGTTCCCAGGCTCTGTTTCCCTTGGCATGTCGGGAAGGGTAGTTTCTCGAGAGATTTGTGGGTTGTGCTCCTTCCCAATTTCTGGTGCTGGAAAAACGTTTCCTCTAAGAACATGGAGCATTTGGGACAGACCATCTTCAATGCTTCTTCTCTAGCTTGGGTCAGGAGCACTGTCACAGGGCAGGCTGCCCCTAAGTCAGCTGGCCTCATGAGGGCACCCCATACCCTAGGGACAGCCTCCCAGCTGGAGGCAGAAGTGGCCCCCTACCCAACCAAGTTCCACAGGCCTGTGTGTCAACTTATTTGAAAGAGTTACAGAGAGACAGAGATTTTCACCTGCTGATTCACTCCCAAACAACCCCAACAGCCTAAACTTGGCCAAGCTAAAGCCAGGAGCCCAAAGCCTTGGGACCCTGCACCTACGTTGGGAGAACTGGAGAAAAGCTCCTGGCTCCTGGCTTTGGATCAGCTCAGTTCCAGCCATTGTGGCCATGTGGGGAGTAAACCAGCAGATTGAAGATCTTTCTGTATCCCCTTCTCTGTAAATCTGCCTTTCCAATAAAAATATTTAATAAAACAACTCACCAATTTACTTTTCCTCTGGCTCACTCACAGAGTGTAAGTCCTGAGGACAGGGTCAGTAGTCCCTGTGGCATCCCAGACTCCAGAATGCGGCATGCTGCAGCCTGTATGACTTGGTGGATTTTCTTTTTTCATGAGGTTCCCCAATGTCAGTGTGGCATCCCTGAATGTTTTGGGGGCAGTTCTGATATCTGAGCCTGGTGAGGAGGACAAACTGGATACAGCCCGAGGCATGGTGGGCACTAGCTGCCTTGGGTCCTTTAAGCCAATAGGTGAGTTGGGGATCACCCTCCACAAGCTGCCAGAAGCACCCCCTTTCCACCTGCAGCCCAGACTAAGCGGCTCGGCTAGGAGCTAGCTAGGCTGTTGGGGGTGTGTGTGGACAAAGTGTTGGTCCTCAGCCTCCTGGAATGAGAGGGGCTGTGAAGGGTCAGCCCTGAGCCAGGTGAGGACACTGTCCCCAGCAAAGGCTTCCTGCTGAGGCCCCAGAGATGGCCAAGCCACCAAGCTCAGGCCTCCCTAACCCCAGTGTGTGTTCAATCTGTGGGCCCATTTGCAGCCAAGAACATCGAGCAAGTTCCCTGTCCTCAGTGGCCACCAGGAAGACCTGCAGAGCCATGGCTGCCACTTAGCAGGTGTGAGCTGGCTTGCTGCCACCCCCAGGTCCCAGCTGGCAGCTTCCTGGACCCCAACATATCCTCACCCCCCCGGGAATAGCCAATTGTACATCTGGCTTCCTTTGGCTGTTGTCTTTGACCTCAAAATCAAGGTGGTGAAGTCTCAGGGCACAAAAAAATGAAACAGCAGAAATAAAAACTGCAACATTTAATTGTTTTTCCCCCCAAACCCAGACACTGACACTAGGCCGATTTCCCCTTACAATGTTATTTTCTATGACAGAAACTGGGACAGATACAAACACAACCCACAGGGGACCAGGAATTGGGGGGGGGGGGCACATTCTGTTAGAAAGGAGGGGAATTCAGAAACAGACACCCCTCCCCCACACCCTCAGGGAGCCCTGTCAGGATGGGGGAGCAGGAACATTCTGCACCCTGGCAGATCAGGCCTCGTGGTCAGCTTGTAGTGGGGACTGGAAGAAAAAAAAATCCCTAAAAATATCATAGACTTTTCTTTACCTCTCTCCTAGTAAAAACGTTAAACTTTCAAGATTCCAAACTGGCATTGCATAGACCAACAGCTTTCCAAAAATATCTCTAATAGACTTTATCTCTCTATAGCATCTGAAACCCCAGGGGCGAGGGCAGCCTGGTGGAATCACTGAGCCTGCGGGGTGGGCTCCCCGGGACAGGGTGCGGGCTGGGCCGGAGCTCCAGGACTCACACGCTCCAGCCAGCATTAATTTGGTTGTGGCCAAACTCTGAGTGCAGTGACACGGGCCTGGGGCCTGGCGTGGGAAGACACCACAGGCAGTGTGTCCTTCTGTGGTGACTGTCACGCTTGCCCCGTAGCCAGGCTGGGGTGGGGGGTCCTGGACTTCAAATCAGACTAAAGGACACCAGAGAAGAGCAGTGCCCTCTCCCCCACTGCCACCCCTGGCTCCTGGGGCTGCTGGGCCCGCACACGGTGCGGCCAGCTTCCTTCTGAAGTGCCAGGGACCTGCACACTGGGACAGAGCCTGCCGCAGCCAGAGCCGAGGTCCTGGCCTGCTGAGTAGGCTCCCTCTAACATTCACTCTCTACCAGAGTTAGGCTATTAAAATGACAAGGGTGACGATGACAACAGAGACCCTAGAAGGACTCTGGTCGTGGGGCCAGGCAGCTCCGACATCAGGAGTCTCCATGACCTTGCTGCTGGGCAGACAAAATGGGGCAAGGAACCTTCCCGGCCTGGGGAGCGCACCAGCACCCTTCCAGCCCCCAGGGTGGGGGTGGAGTCCCCAGGCCTGCTGGGACCCCGCCAGCAGGTAGGGCAGTGGACAGAAACACCTCCCTCATCCAGGGGAGAAAGGAGAGCAAAACAAGTGGGAACTCCAAACTACGCAGAGATGGAAGGCAGGAGGGGGCAGAAGGTTTAGAACACCAGCCCGCTGGGTTTATACAAAATGAGACTTGAAGAAGGCAGGGGCATTTGCCCAGGTGGGCTGGCTACCAGCCAGAACCCCCCTTTGAGCAAGTTCACAAGGACAGGGGCAAAGTGCTGCGAACTGAGGCTTTGGGAGGGGCAGGACCAGACTGCCCCCCTTCAGGAGGGCACACCCCGGGCAGGCCCCACCCCAGCTCTACCCAGAAGGGGACAGAGACTTCTTCAGCCAGGAAGCCAGCTCCGGCCGACCCAATCCCAGCCCCCTTGCCTGCCTTCCCGGCACCAGGCCGCGCCCAAGCTGCTGACCTTTGGGCACAGGAAGGGGGCTCTGTTCACCCAGCCCAGCCCAGCCAGGCCCCTGACCTTTCTGTGGGAGCACCAGCCTGCTCAGGACCCAGCCCTGGGCAGGAGGGCACCCCCCAAGGCCCAGCCCTATCTCTGCACAGGGGCTCAGGGTTGAGCCGGGGGTGATTGGAGGAAGTAGAGGCAGCGCCGTGTTCCAGCCGGGCTGCCAGCCGTCAGGCCTCTGGCTGCACAGCAGGAAAAGCCTGGGGCTCAGGGGAACGGTGAGGGAAGTGGGGCTGTGCTGGGGACAAGCACGTGCAAAGTGCAGGCTGCGAGGGCAGCAGAAGGACATTTGCGGGAGGGGAGGCAGGGGGCTGCAATCCGGAGTGAGGCTGGGGTCCGATCTTGGTTCTCTGGAGGTGGCTGCCGGCAGGACCTCCAGGACACAAGGCAGGGACAGCTGAAACACTGAGCCATCAGAGGGTCACAGGGATGGATGGCGGACTGGCCTCCCCCGGGCCCTGCCCGGCTGTAGCCAAGGCTGGGACTCCTGGAGTGAGTGGGGACTCAGGCAAGAGCCCTCTGGCCACAGGCATCCCCACAGTTCCTGGAGCTGCCCAGCCCAGGCAGGGTCCCCCTGCAGCGTGGGCTCAAGTGCCCTGCCCTCTAGTGGTTCGGAGAATATTCACAGTGGTGTCTGGGGCCTGGCCAGGCCAGGGGGTCCCAGTGAGGACGGGAAGGACGATGGAATGACAACTTGGGCACAGGCAGGCGTAGGTGCGAATGCACATGAGAGGCCGACTTCTGCGCGCGGTCCCTCGTGGAACAATGTGGCTCTGGAACCTTCTTTAGCCCAGACGCCGGCTCTTCAATGGCTTTCGATCACCACCGGCTCATAGATCCCAGAGGAAACCCTGTGGAAGACAGGTCAGCTGGGTCCCTGAATGCCCCAGGCCCAGCAGGCCTTTTGCAGAGGGGCTAAATCTGTGGCTCAGAGACCTGAAGGCAAGAATTGGGGTGTGAGGACCAGGGAGCTAGCACTCTGACTCACACCCAGGGGTCTGCTTCCATTCTCACGGGGACTCCAGAGGGAAAGACTGCGCCCAGCCCCACCAGCCTTGGAGGGAAGTGAACAAGCAGGAAGCTGCCAGTCCTGCTCTCCACCGAGGCTACACGGGCCTGTCCTGGCGCTCTATGTGCAGTCTGCTAGAACCTGGTTGTTGTTCAGCTTGCTTCTTCCCTCTCCTGAGCCTTGAATTCTTTGTTTCACAGTGAGCTAGAGAGGGGAATTCACAGACTTCTTCATTTTTTGGTGAACCACACAGTGGGCAGGCAGTCCACCAGACCAGTTGGGGGCTGATGGATGCATTTTTGGACCTCGACCAGCAGGGGTCAGCAGAGCAACATGCCAGGGCTGTCCAGCAGCTTGCAGCTTAAGCAGGCACCTCCCCACCTGGCACACAGGCGCACACAGGAAGAAATCTTCAGCAAGGCAGAATCTTCTGGGCCCAAGGCAGGTGATTGCTCGCTCACTCAGTGAGACAAGGACATGGCGTGCCAGGTGCAGCCAGCACACTGTGGACGAAGCTTGTAGGAAGGCTGTGCACAGCAGCAACCTAGTCAAAGCTTGACCCTGGTATGCCCTCAGTTGTTGGCAGTCATGTAATTCAGGGCTGTGTCCCCACCCCCACCTCGGTGCTTGGGGCGTGGGTGGCACTCAGTCACCTACGAGCCACCTAGGACAAGGACAGTAGAAACGCCCTGCTGGCGTTAGGTCCCTTGCCGGGTGCATTCCCATGTAACCCGGGATCCTGGCCTTCGGAGGCTTGTACTTCCCAGGTCTCCAGGGGAGGTGGGTGTCATCCACACTACTTGACAGATAAGAGAACTGAGGCCTGTGGCACCTGCATCCCTTACCTGTTGGCTAGCTGGACGCCACTCAACGTGGTGGAGCCGTCGCGGCTCACGAACAGCCGGAGGTTGCTGTCTGTGGGGATGCGGAAGAGGAGGCAGACAAGGTTCAGTGCAGGGGAGGCACATAAAGGTGGCCACGCCCCCAGACCGACAGCGCAGGCCGCTCACCCTCTGTGTTGCTGCCGTCGGTGAAGTCCTGGCTCTGCATGATCTTCTCCACGATGGTGTCGGCATCAATGCGTGTGTCATCCACCCAGGTCGGATGGCTCTCTACCGAGTCCTTCTTCCGCCTGGAGGGATGGGCCAGGGCAGTCAGGGCGGAGGCAGTGCAGGAGCAGGAGGGCAAAGAGAGCAGTGAGCCCCAGCATACCCCTACCTGTGCCCCAGGTGACTGGAATGCAAAGGGGTTGAGCAAACAGCTTAAGACCACACAGCATGCAGGGTTCCCAGACCACACACATACGTGGCTGCCAGTCAGCAGCCACAGGGAGCTGTACCCTGCCTGGCCCTCCAATCACCCAACCAGCCTCGGGGGTCAGAGGGCCATTGCAAGGGGTCCTGGGGCCAGGCAGCACATGGGCCTCACCGGAACGAGCGGTCCGACAGGTGCAGGGGCCGTGGTGGCCGTGGTGGCTTCTCGGAGGGCCGGTGTTCCCGCTCACTGCCCTCGGGGCCCTCCACGGTCATGCTGAGGCCACCCGAGGCACTGCTGCTGGTGGATGTGTTGCGGCGGTGTGTCAGGTCCGAAAGACTGGAGGAGCGTGAGTGCTCCGTGCTGCAGCCTGGGGGCAGGGATAGCTAGGGGTCAAGGTGACAGGCACCCTGGGGTAGGGGCTGTGGCAAAGCAGGATTGGACAGCTGTTCACCTGAGGTCCTAGACTGCTGACTGGCATAGCTGGAGTTGCGGGAGTGGCCAGAGTGGAACACTTCCTCAGGGCTGGACAGGTTCTGTTCCGGCTCCTCTGGCAGCCCTGGGGGCAGCAGCAGGGTTATTGGAGGTGGAGGGGGACCCCATAAGTCCTTCACGATGTCCCTCCTCCCCAAGCCTCTGAACCCAGAGTTGCTCCCTCCCCAGCTGGCCAGGGCCTGCTTGTAGGAGGGACCGGCCAGATTAGTGGAGAGGAAGGAGGCCTGGCAAACAGCAGGCCACGGCCGCCCATGGCGGCTGCAGAGCTGTGAGCAGAGCATGGCAGAAGCCACCCAGCCAGGAGTGGGCAGTGCTTCTCCAAACTGGCCTTAATGCCAAGACCTTCAGGACGCGTGGGAAGGAGGCAGCTTGCTAAGGCTTTCCAGATGGAAGGAGGGAAATGGAGAGGCCCTGAAGCTGGAGCAGCTTGGCTCGGCATTGCCAGCGCACAGCCATCAGGCGGTGGGCAGGGGGAGGCCGGCGTCTCTGTCCTAAGTCGTCCACAACTGTGACTTCTAAGGCCAACTTTCCCAGGAAGGTGCAAGGGAAGTAGTAAGGTCCAGGCAGGGCTTCGCTGAACACCCACAGCCAACATAGGAAAGACAAATGCACACTCTCTCACCAGAGGTGAGTGCCCCAGTCTCCCCTAAGCGCCAGCAAAACAACAGTCTGCCCATGGAGGGAGAAGGGCAAGTGTGTATCCCAGGCACAGCCGGACCAGGTGGTCTGGTCTCCCCTCTGCGACCCACACCCTGCAGGTGGACAGAGCACTGGGGCCCAGTGCCAAGGCAAGCAAGGAGTTGGAGAAGCCCAGCTTTTGTTGTAGGTCTACAGGCCCTCAGGCCTGAGAGTGCAGACCTATCTGACAAGCTACCCTGCACCCGTGACCTCTCAAACCCCTCATGGAATGCAAGAGGGCCAGGTGTGCTAACTTGCTCACTGATAAGCACAGGCAGTTTGCCCCTCAGCTCTGAGCTGCCAGAGGGGAATGGGGTGTGAGGCCCCAGCTCTCAGCGCTGGACCCTGCTTCACCGTGCACAGCACTGGATGCAGGCTGGGGGCCCAAGAAATACAGAGCATCCCAGGCTTCCCTGCTGTTGGTACTCAGCCCACCCACACGTCTCCCTTGGGAATCCTGGCTCCTTCCTTCTTTGCATAGCATCCATGATGTTAATGTCCACAGAGCATGCTTCTGCTGTGCAGGCAGGCCCACACATTACTTAGCTCACCCCACGGTCAACCCGGAAGTAATTCTGCCACTGATCCCACCTGACAGAGGACAACCCAGACCAGGGTCAAGGACACACAGTCAATGGAAAAGCAAAGCTCCCAGATGGCCTGGGGGGCACATCATGCCAGATGACATCTCAAATACCTCTTTCTCCAAGGAGCCTCTCTGACCCTGCTCCCTAGCTCCTGCCAGGTCTGTAGGATGCTGTGTCAGTTGGTGCAGGGAGCTGCTGTGACCATGGGCACACGTGCAGGGTGTGCAGACTGCATCGGTTGAGGCACGCCATTGCCTACCACCCCTCCCTCAGCAGGCATCTCCCCCAGGACCTGGGCACACCACAGCAGAGAAAGCGAGGAACAGTACCTGAGCTAAGGATGGTAGGCCGTGCCTTAGGGGGCCGGGACCCGGTCAGAGAGTTGCTGCTGCCTCCAGTGCTGGTCCCGCCACCCTTACATGTCAGCTGCAAGGAGGAGTCCTGGCCCGGGATGGAGATGGACTTGGCAGTGGACGGTGGCCTTAGCAGGATACACAGGTGTCACTGGGGTGTCCCACCCCAGGAACCAGGAAGACAGGGAAGCCACGGGCCCAGGAAAAGAGAGGGTCCCTGTGTCCCCACCCCATCCTGCGGCCCAGAGGCACTCACGTCTTGAAGCAGGGGTCTCCAGAGAGCAGGAACATCCCAATGGTGACCTGGGGGGGAGGGGTGGACAATCAGCTATTACAGCCACCCACACCCAGCCCAGATGCAGGCTGCTCCCTGACTGAGGGACCCTCATGGGGCCATCGACTTCACTGGGTACCCTGTGGTGGCTGGAATCAACCCCACCGGCACCGCAAGAATCAGCAATGAGGGTCTGACATGGTATATTAGGTTAAACTACCATTTGAGATGCTGACATTCCATATAGAAGTGCCAGTTCTAGCTTCCCATCCAGCTTCCTGCTGACATGCCTAGGAGGGCAGCAGAAGGTGTGGGTCCCTACCACTCATGTAGAAAACCAAGATGGAGTTTCTGGCTCCTGGCCTTAGCCTGGCCCAGCCCTGGCTGTTGCAACCATTTCTTGAGTGAACTAGAAGACAGAAAGTCTCCAACTCCGCCTTCAAATCAACTAATAAATCTTTTTTTAAAGGAAGGGATGAGCAGTGTTGTGGCATAATGGATTAAAGCTGCTGCCTGCAATGCCAGCATCCCATTGGGGTACCTGTTGGGGAACAGTTCCTGTTCCAGCTGCTCCATGTGCAATCAGCTGTTGCTAATACATCTGAGAAAGCAACAGAAGACCCAAGTCTTTGGTGGGAGACCTGGAAGAAGCACCTGGCTCCTGGCTTTGGATCAGCCAGTTCTGGCCATTGTAGGAGTGAACCGGTGGAGGGAAGATCTCTGTGTCTTTCCCCCTTTCTCTGTAAACTCTACCCTTCAAACAAATAAAGAAATGGACTGCTGTAAGTAGACTGTGGGCTCTCTGGGTGCCCAGGCTGCACATTTAGGCCCATCGCCAGCACCCAGCTTGAGGGAAGGTTCCCCATGGCAGGCAGTGACTCCCCCCAGAGGTTAATGCTGCCGGCAGGGGCTGGTGCAAGCTTGATGTAATGAAAGGAGGAAACCATCAAGGATTTAACATTCCCTTGAACAAACTTTGGCAATGGCATAAACACAGCAAGGCCTAGGTGCCCAAACCTGGGCTGCAATGGAGACAGGGGGCCCATGTGGGGAGGAGGTGCTAAAAACCCAGGGTCTTCCTGGACACCAACAGGGCTCCAATGGGGGAGGGTTTTGTTTTTTCATTTTTTGTTTTGTTTTTAAAGATTTATTTGAAAGGCTGAGTTATGGAGAGGAGCGATAGAATTATCTCATCTGCTGGTTCACTTTCTAAATGGCCACACACCAGGCTGTGGCCTGGAGCCCAGAGCTCCATTTGGATCTCCCACATGGGCACAGGGACTTTAGTGGGGCCATCTCACGCTGCCTTCCCAAGCCATTGGCAGGCAGCTGTACTGGATGCAGAGCTGAGTGGAGTAGCCCGGGTCGAGGCTTTTTCTGCAGTGTTGGCTTTGGCCTTGACAGCAGTCTGCAAAGCAGCGACAGCCCCAGGTTGTAAACAAGGGAACTGAGACTCCTGGAGGGGAAGCAACTGTCCAAGACCTCGGGGACAGGATACGGGGGAGCTGGTCTTGAATGTAGCACTCTGACCTACTGGCCCTTAGGTCCAGCCCAGCTGACAGTACACGGGACCATGGGTAGCGGAAATGCCTTGTCGCTCCATGCCATCAGCCTGGGCTTTTCCGGGGCCTCCAGATCTCTAGGAGGGCTGCAGAGGCCAAGAGCCCCTGCCCCCATCTGCCTGGGCCCACTGCCCTAACACAGGCTCTGCTCCTAGAGGCCACATCAACATAGCTTGTTTTCACCTGTCAGGAGACTGGTGCAGGACACAAGAAGTGAGGTGTACCAGCTGCGGACAGCCAGACATGTTGCTCCCAGGAGCCCAGAGAGGCCACTACCTGGGGAGCAAGAGCTGCTGCAGCCACTGGAAACCCACAGGTGGCCAGCCAGGATGGGTCTGCCCCGAGGCGTCACATGGTTGCCCATGCAGGCATGAGTTGTGGAGGACAGGTTCTTCCACTCAGTGCTGTCCTGCAAGGAGCCAGGCTACCTGTGTCAGGTGAGGCCAGGCCCCAGAGTTCAATGGCTTGGGGGTCAGGTGACCCCCAGGCCATGGCTGTATCCTGTGTACCATCTCCCTGCTATGCAAAACTGGGGCCAAGAACAGATAGCACGCCCCCACAGGGCTGCTGCAGTCACGGGTAAGAGCTGTGAGCACTCTACACCTAAAGCCAGAAAGTACATCTAAAGCCAGATGGACAGGCACACCCTCCCCTGACCAGGATGGGGAAACCGAGGCATGTGGCCTGCCCAGGCTGCCGTCTGTTGTGTCCTGGTCTCTGGGCCCACACTTTTCTGGCGTCTTTCACAGCCCATTAGGTGAAAACCTATTTCCCATACACTCTGCGGGGGGGAGGGGGTAAGGAGCCAGTGGGTACCTTGAGGATGGAGTTGTCCTGGCGCGTGTTCTTGGTATCGTAGCCCTCCAGCAGGCAGCAGCGCACCGTGGAGCCTGAGCCTGCGAACTCGGCCAGGTTCAGGTCAGCAAAGCCCAGCTGGGAGAGGAGAGGCGGGCAGGTGCACCAGAAGGGTTAACTTGGCAGAACCCCTGGGCCTGCCCCCCAGCTCCAACAAGGGATCTGGGTTATGCAACGGTGGGGGGGGGCAGAAATGGAGGACCCGGGTCGCGATGTGGCAAAGCCAGGAGCTCATATCCCTGAGGCGCACAAAGCAGCCTTTGTGCCGCGTCCCAGTGTGCACCGGGGCCAGCACGCCTGAGATGAAAGGACATTGTTGTCGGTGACACAGACACATTGTTCCCTGGGAAACAAGGCCGTGCTGTGGAGCAGGCAGGAGGAGGGAAGGCCAGTGGGAACCTGATGGCGGGAAGGGCAGAAGGGACACCCCACGGAAGGGGGACGGGAAGCACATGCTGTAGGGCCAGCCGCTGGTGGGGCCTGGGGCTGCTCCTGACCCCACGTCCAGGGAGCTATGTGCAGGAACGCGCAGGGAGACACATAAACTACAGGGGCCCCTTAGATGAAGCACAACCTGCCCAGCTCAGAGGGGAGACTGAGGCAGAGGTGAAGGAGTGCTAAGTGTAGGTAATGGGGGACAACCTAAGCAAGCAGGGACATCTACCAAGTCTCACGCCAGAATCAGGCACCAGGGCTCAGACCCCAACCGTGCCACTGACTCACCAAGGCAGGGCCCCCCATTTTCAGGCGGGGAAGATAGGTCCAGGGAGGGGAAGTGGCAGAATTGGGACCACAACCCAGCCATGTCTGGCCACTTCCCTGAGCCTCATTTCCTCCTCTGTAGGATGCCACAAAGCTTGCGGCGGGTGGGGTGGGGTAGGGGGTCTTGTGCAGAGCAGAGGGGCGGAGGGCATGGTCAGGTGCCAGTCAGTGTCTGCTGGAGGTGAAGCTGTTTGCAGGCAGCTCCCCTCCTGGTCGGCTGCTGCCTTTGCCCACAGCGCCAGGAAGGAGGCTCCATAGCCTGGGGCCAGCAACCTGCCCTTTGCTTCCAGCAACCTGCCCTGTGCTTCCAGCAGGCCCAGGGCAGAGGGCACAGCCCAGCCCATGCCTCAGCACCCGGGATGGGGTCACTGGGAAGGGCACCGCCTGCGGCAGCACTTCCCGCCGGCCATCCGCTGGCCGTCCACACAGCAGGTCAGAGCCGGAGGTGAGGCGTGGCATTTCCTCTCCCCTTCCTGCTGCTGCCCCACCCCCCTTCCTCCTGTCACAGTACAGTTGGGAGGGGCAGGCAGGCTTCCTCAAGACCGGCACCATCCTCGCCTCTTCCCCAAGAAGAAGTTACACCGTGCGGGTTACACCATGTCTGTTGGTACCACACAAATTTGACAACCACACATCCCATCGTGGGCCTGTTTGAGCTGGCTGTCACTGGCCACTGAAGGGACACAGGGCAACCTGTGCCCACACAATGGATGGGTGGGCGAAGTCCATGCTACGAGTAGCTTCTGGAAGCTTCTCTCCTGCCTGTCTTGGGCCATCCCATGCCACCACCCCTCCCTTTCACAGTCTCTCTTACCTTGGAATAAGCTTTCCCGCCTTTCAGCTCCTACATGGGGAGGGAGACATAAGCAAAAGTGTGACCAGGGAATCCAGTAACCTTCTCAGGACCCTCAAATCCCACTGAATCTGAGTGCAAAGGAAGGAGGGCAAGAAAAGGGACAGAGAGACTGGCATGGCAGCACAGATTAAGCCACTGCCAGTGACGCCAGTATCCCCTACAAGCACTGGTTCGAATCCCAGCTACTCATTTTTTTTAAAGATATTTATTTATTTTTTATTGGAAAAGCAGATATACGGAGAAGAGCCAGAGAGGAAGGTCTTCCATCTGAAGATTCACTCCCCAAGCGGCTGCAACGGCTGGAGCTAGGCCAATCTGAAGCCAGGAGCCAGGAGCACTTCTGGGTCTCCCACTTGGATGCAGGGTCCCAAGGCTTTGGGCTATCCTCAGCTACTTTCCCAGGCCACAAATAGGGAGCTGGATGGGAAGCAGAGCTGCCAGGATTAGAACTGGTACCCATATGGGATCCTAGCATGTTCGAGGCAAGGACTATAACCGCTACACTATCGCACCGGGCCCCTAAAGATATTTATTTTTATTGCAAAGTCAGATATACAGAGAGGAGGAGAGACAGATAGGAGGATCTTCCATCCGATGATTCACTCCCCAAGTGACCGTAACGGCTGGAGCTGAACCGATCCCAAGCTAGGAGCCAGGAGCTTCTTCTGGGTCTCCCATGTGGGTGCAGGATCCCAAAGCTTTGGGCTGTCTTCAACTGCTTTCCCAGGCCACAGGCAGGGAGCTGGATGAAAAGCAGGGCTGCCAGGATTAGAACCAGCACCTATATGGGATCCTGGTGTGTTCAAGGCGAGGACTTTAGCCATTAGGTTACCATGTCGGGCCTGCTACTCTGCTTCTGATCCAGCTCCCTGCTAATGCGCCTGGGAAGGCAGCAGAGGATGGCCCAAATGCTTGTGACCCTGCACCCTCATGGGAAATCTGGAGGAAGCTCCTGGCTCCTGGCTTTGGTCACTGTAGCCAACTGGGAGTGAACCGGTGGATAGGAGAGCTGTCTCTCCTTTTCAAACAGTAAAGGGCACACCCCTCCCCACGTCCCAGGGCACAGCCCACACCCGCCCTGGCTCACCTTGCGTACAGACACGCGGCAGACGCAGGGGTCCAGCAGGCCAGTGGCCGGGTTGGCACTCATCTTACACACGAAGGTGAACCTCTTCCGCCACCGGACACAGTTCTCCTGCACCTCTTCCCTGCGGGCCAGAGAACACAGGGACACCATGTGGTCAGTGGGACCACATGGCTGCAGTGGGAGGGACAGGGCAGGGACCCTGTCTGTGGGAGTCAGGGAAGAGGGGCTCTCCCAAGACGCTAAGGGACACGAAGGGACTGCTTTCTCATGGAACACACAGGTGTAGTTGTTTGAAACCTACTGAGAGACAGCAGTCATGGGAGCAGTTGGCTCAGGGTAGCTGTCCATCCCAGGGATCCCCTGACCTCTGTGACCAGTGCAGTACCCACATGCCTCTCTGTGACCTTGGTAACCCACACAAATCTTCCCAAGCTACCTAACTCTCAATCCATTGTGCAGATGGAAAGTCCGGGGCAGTCTCACTTCCCAGTCTTGCCCAGTCGGGCAAAAGCCAGGCTGGCCCAGAACCCAGGCACGATGGCAGAGCCCCTTCCCACACCTGTGACAACAGTAACAGCTGCCGCTCACGTGCTGCTTTCCAGACAGACAGCATCCTGGAGACCAGCAGGATCTGGCCAGACTCACACCCCCACAGGTCCCAGCAGCCAGGTTTTCCACAAGGTTCAAGAGGCTCACAGAAGCCAGCAGCAAGCGCCCCTGCCCCATGTGGCCGAGCCAGACGATCAGGCCAGAGCTTTCTGACAGCGAGTACTTGGCTCCCACCACCAAGGAAAACCAGGGCTCTGGGGGCTGCGAATCCCAGCAAGGGGCAGAACAGGGACTGAGCTGCAGCAGCCTGTGCACAGGCTTCCCCACACCCTGGGGGTCTGGCCTTGTAGTGCCCTCAAGTTCCTCCTGGGCATGGGAGCACAATCAAGAGGAAAAAGCAGGCACTGTTTTAACCAAAAAGGCACACCATGCCCTGGAATGGGCGAGAGAGACTCATTTAAGCCTCTCTCAGCAGCTGGGGAAGGGAGGGGTTAGGTGGGATCGGGTGCGGCATCAGCAGAGAGAAGCGCCCCCCCTCCCGGCCTGCCAGGCAGGGCCTGTGCCAGAGGCATCACCTGCAGCCCAGCCAGCTTAACTGGACAGTAAAGTGGACAGCTCAGGAAGTGATATCTCTAGCCTGGAGTGACTGGGGTACGTGGGTTAACTGCCTTATTGAGGCTAAGGGTGGGAGATCAGAGTCAGAAGACCATGGTCTTGTAGTGCCAAAACATCTGCCTGTTTGTTCCTCACAACAGCCTCTGAAGGTGAGCTATAGGCAGCCCCCAATACAGACCAGGGCAGAGGTATCCAAAAAAAGCCCTCCTACCCCCGTCCACATACACACATCAGATCATGTTCCAAGGGACTGAAAACACAGGCAGGGCAGGACTGTCTGACTCCGAGGCAGAGCCCTCAGATAGTCTCTCAACTCACACAGGCCAGGGGTCCAGGAGAGCTAGGCAGGTGGGGCCAGCTGTGTACCAAAGGCCCCTAGCCAAATCTGCTTGCAAAACACCAGGTACAGCTGTCACGTGACTCAGCAACTCCACTCCCAGAGGAAACCCAAGGGGCCCAACGCCAGAGCTTGTATACATGTTCACCTCAGTGTTATCCACAACAACAGCCCAAGCACTGACCAGAGGTGTGACCTGGTCTAGCCACACAAGGAAACAGGATCCCAACAAGTCAGGCACGCACAGCTGTGACAACGGGAGTTAACCTTGAAGACACTGTGCTAAGCCAGAGAGGCCAGGAGCCAAATTCAAGGTGTTGTTATGATTCCTTTTCCAAGCTGAACCCTGGATACCAGTGGGTGGGGCAGCTGGGGACACATAGGGAACGATGGTAAATGGACACAGGACTTCTTCCTGGGGTAATGAAAGGTTCTGAAAGTTGACTGGTGATGGTTGCTCTGTAAACAGACCAGGAAACCATTGGACTGAGCGCCTCCCTTGGATGAGGTGTGGCATGTGTGAATTACAAACACAAAGATGGGGAACAAAGAGCAGGGAGTGCCGGGCAGAGAGGAAAAGGTAGTGGACACTGCAGCAGGTGGGTGGATGGGATGGCCGCTCAGGCAATGACCTCTGCCTGGTAAGAGCTGCCGGGTGAATGGACAGCAAGCACAAAGGGCCGGGGCAGAAACATGTTTGGCAAGTGGACAAACAGCAGAGGGTGAGGTGGGTGAGGAGCAGGGGCTGAGCCCTCCCAGACCTCAGCAGCCGAAGGGGAGGTGCTGGGCCTCACTCAGAGAGTGATTCTTGCCTTGTCCCCATGGACAGTGACAGGCAGAAGCCACAAGTGGCCATGGAGGCTGCAGACAAAAGGTGCAAAGAGCACAGAGACGCTTCCCAGGAGAAAACAGGGTGGGATACCTATATGGACCTTCCAGACCCCTGGTCTCGCCACCTCCCTCCCAGAGCTGGCAGCAGCTGCTGGAGAGCTGGGGAGGAAGCTCAGGGCGTGTTGGAACACTCAGGGGATTAGGATGGTAGTGTGGGAATGAAAGCTGATCCAGCACTGCGGCCTTTCTCCCTTCCCCTTTGAGTCTGCTGTGGGAATGCTGCCTACTTGTGGTTCCTGTCCTCCCTGCCAGGCCAGGCCAGGTTAGGCCAGGGACAGCAGTGTGGAACCCTGCCTGGCTCAGGTGACGGGCGGGGTTCCCTCCCTCTGGGGAAGGTGAATAGGGCACTTCCTGTTCCCACAGGGCTCTGGACAATCACCTGCTCCTTGTCACCACTCCCACAGGACACAACAGCTGCCTCACCCTGGCCCACCCAGGGCCAAACAAATACCAGCACAGCGGCCACTTCCCAGGCCAGGACAAGGCTCACAGTACTGCTGATCCTACAGGGGAGGCACAGCATCACCCCTTCCCCACAGCTCCAGAACACACAAGGAGGGAGCAGGATCACAGAACGGGGAGGGGAAAGGTGGCAGGCAGGCGGGCTTGGGGCTACGTAGAGGCACTGACGACTATGCACCTGTACAAGTGGCCATAGCAGCATTGCTGATGGCTGAGCAAAAGTGAGAACCACCCACACGTGCAACCAGGAGCTGCCCAACTGCATCAAAGCGACAGGAGGGCGGGCTCTGCTCCCACAAGGTGGGAAAGCTGCAGGCTAGGCTCTCCAACAGGACCCCACTCTTACTGACACAAAATATGGGTGCAGGGGCAGACATGAGTGTCCAGGAGCACAAAGGGTACGGGAGGTGCCTGCGCCACTCTGCAAATGAGGTCCCTTCACTCAGTCAGGCTTCCGCAGACAGGGGAGGGAACAACAACAAGTGGGGGAGGAAACACTGTGTTGTTTCTTTTTCCGAACTCCAAGCATCAACTGTGAATTTTTGAAACGTTGGCCTAAAGAGAATGGATTGTCCTGTGAGTCCTAGAGGTGGCCATCTGGGGAGAGAGGAGCAGAGGCCATCCCAGCTCAAGACCTTGGCACGGTCAAGGATGGAGAGAAGCCGGGCTCTGTGGACAGGGGTGACCAGAGGCCAGGCATGGTTTGGACACAGGGGATGGCTGGGAGCTGTTTGTATAAGACTAAAGCAGAAAAGGAGTGCAGTTCAGCTAGATGGCTGGCTACCAGGATGTATTCCTGACTCAAAACTCTAGCCCACGGCCTCCCTGGGCACTGCCAAGGCAGGTCATCGTGCAAGATGTGGGGCTGCTGGCAGGAGTGGGCACCACCACAATAGAGCATGGTGTCCCCTCCTCCCCAGCCTGGAGTTTCAGGGCGTGCTCCCCTGGCTCCCTGTGGCTGGGGACAGGTAATTACAGGGCCTGGGTTCCATTTTTAGCTTCAAGATGTACAATTAGATGTGTGAAGCCAGTGAGGTGGGGCAGGCCCTAGACCCACCGCAACCTCGGTGGGTGGCTGTCACCAAGGGAGGAGTTTATTTTGGAACAGCCTTAGAAATAGGTCCTCTTCCCACCACACTCCCCTAGGGCCCTCCCCACCACAGCAAGGCCAGCCCAGTGACCGGATCTCCCTTAGACAGCTGCCAATGATGAGCGGACACAGGGACAGGGGCCATCAGGATGGACCCAGAGACTGTGGGCACCAATTCAGGGCAAGGTACAGTGTGGCCAAAGTCCTGGAGGGGTCACCCAGCATGGGTGGGCATCTCCTGGGGAGCTTGAGCACTGAACAGAGCAGACACTGGACCTGGTCTAGGGGCAGTGATCTCACAGCCAGGCCTCAAGGAGTGTGTCCCGGGCAGTGAGTCAAGTCACACAGGGGGAGGACTCAGAGGGAATGCGATAGTCCCCAAGAAGAGACGTGAAGCTGGAGCTTGAGGGGAGGGCGGACTCAGGAGCAGAATCAGGCTGAGGGAGCCTGGAAGGCCACCTGCCCACCCATAGTGTACCTACAGCATCCTAGCACCTGTCCTCAGTGAGTCTCAGGGGACCCAGGAGGGCAACTGACCACCCTCAGGGTCCCAGGCATACAGGGACCACATGTCCTCTATTTGTCACCCCAGTCTTCCCAGAATTAGTGCAAGGTCTCACCCAGGGCCTGCTCTTGTGCTCATCCTCAACAATTCAGAAGTGTGAATACCTCCCATTCCTTGGGACTCAGGTGCATGGTAACTCCATCCCACCTGCACCCACTGTTGGGAGTGCCCTCACCAAACCCGTTTCCAGGTGAAGAACCAGAGGTCCAGGGAGGGGAGATAAGACCCCAGAACCAAGGGGGTGTGTGCTGACTCTGGAGCTTCACCCCTGGTGGAGTAGCCATCTTGGATGAAGGGGACACTGCCTAGCGGGCTCCCAGCAACTGAGCAGGCTTTGAAGGTACTGTCCCTGGCCTCTGGGACAGCAAAATCTGGAGCTTGCAGCAAAAATGTGGCCCCCATGGTTTTCTGAGGTCAGCTCACTACCATCTCCCACCCCAAGGACTTCGCACGTGCAGTGACACTACTCAACAAATGCAGCTATCTTGGCAGCCCTGGGCCTCCACCACTCAGGTGACAGGGACAGTGCTGTGGGAGTCACTTCCGGGCTGCAGGCTGCTGGTTTCCAGCAGATCCAGACCCTCTTGCCAGAAACAGAGCTAAGGCATGGGC